GGAAGGTCCACGTGACGTGCCTGCCTATTGTCTCCCAACCCCTGGGGTCAGGTCGGAAAGGAAGAGGGGGCTGAGTGGGGTTTTTCGGTTTGTTTTACAAACTGTGGACAAAAATTCCTATTCCTCCTAGGTGCTCCAGCATTTGAAAATCTTGTTGCTTTTTAAGAGCTGAAAACGTTACTGTTAGCGGAAGCGGCACTACTGCTTTGGGGAGGTTGGGCCGACTGAGCTGTTAGTCGTTAAGGGGATCGATCACAGGGCAACAGAAAAGGGACATTGAGTTTTGGGTGTGTGGCAGATCTGCGTGGACCCTTACAGTGTCTCCACGCCCCAGCGTTAGAACGCACACAATGCTCCCCTGGTGAAGTCTCGTGTGGCCACACTGCTCCACCAACAGGAAGATGCACCTGCCAGCCCTCCTCTCCCGGCTCAGCTGGCCTAGGGTGCCAAGACAAGTTGGGGGCCAGGGGCCAGGGCCAAGTGATCCCGAGAGATTCTAAGTGTGCCCGAAGGAACCAACCAGAGAGGGGAGGGCAGAGGGCCCAGGGGCCAGACACTGTCTCCACTGGCACTCCCCCCTCCACTGACACCTGCCTGGCCCAAGTGCAGAATAAACCATGGCAGAGAAGGGAACACCTGTAGGGAGGAGCGTCAGTCTTTCAGGTCCCTAGGACAACCGAAGGAGGCCCAGGGTGGCTTTGATCTGATCCTGTCCACGATCCCTGGGCTGTCTCTCCCTGCATTCAACCTCTCTCCAAAGACAGGCCCATGAGAAGGGAACCGCAACAGTCAGCGCTTTGCTCACTGCTGGTCGTGATTTGTACGTCAGATAAATAAATAGAAAGGCGAAGAAGGTGGTGTTGGGAGGAAGGTGGGGAGGGGCTTCTCGTGCACGGGCAGCAGAAGGGAGAGACAGAGAAAAGAGAAAGAGAACGAGCAAGCTTGGCAATCCAAGGTCCCTGGTTCTAAGCCACCCTAAAATCTACCTTGCACAGTTTGGCAGCAGCGTGAACACAGAATAACAAGTCAGCAGAAATGCCCGCCTCCCGCCCATCCCATGGAAAAATATACATTCCGATATTTATGTAATAATTTAGATAGAATATGTTTTCTGCATTTGTGCAAATAAATTAAATGAAACAATTTTCCTTTTTTTTTTTTCCATAAAGAAAGAAACGGCAACGCAATTTAAAAACAGGCAGGCCATTAAAAAGAGCCCGTGTGACCCCTTTACAAATGCAACCAAGACCAGGCCCCTCCGCTGGGCTCGTGAGTGGCCTTACCCTGACGACGATGGCGTTTTGTGGCTAAAGTGACTTGGGCACACCCTGAGAACAGGGTTGGTCCCACACGTTCACACTGGGGAGGGGGCAGGAAGGGGGGGGGACATCAAAAACAGACCACATCCTCGGCAAGACGGGCTCCAGAGGGATGCGGACGAGGAGCATTTACAAGCACGGAGTGCACAACAGTTTTGTTATTTACAAATACACAGCAGTCCTTCAACTTTTCAAGTTTCATAAAAAATGGAGGAGGGGAGGAGAAAGGGAGGAAAGAAAAACCAACGAACCAAACAAAAAAAAAAAAAAGAAAGAAAAAAACATTGAAAAAAAAATAAACAAGATTAACAAAACACAACAGTGTCGCTCGGAGACAACAGTTGACATAGTCACACACGGCTTGCATTATGTACATCAATTACAGAGATGGCGACGCGGAGGGAGGGGTCACACTTGTGTTTCCGCCTGGTTGAGGCGCTCGGCCACACGCACCCCCACGCGTGCGAGGGCACACGTGCACACACACACGCAGGCACACACCCCACTCGGGCCCGCACTCCCACGCATGCTTGCACACTCGCTCGTCCACACGCACAGACATGCCCGCGGGCAGCAGGCGAAGGGCGGCGGGTATCACCAGTCCGCGTCCTCCTCTATGTAATAATCGGGGGCGGTACCATCAAAGAGCCCCGGGTCCAGGGACTTCCGCTGCTTCCCTCTGGCGAAGACGCGGGAGATGGACCCGAATCCCATCTTCTCTTTCTTCTTTTTCCGTTTTTGGTCTTCAAGATCCTCTAGTGACTGGGGGGATCCAAGTGGGGGAGGGAGAGGGGAGAAGAACAAAGACAAGCTTAGCCAGGTGGGTGGGTGGGCAGGCCGGATAGCAGGCGGTCAGAGGGGTGGGAAGGCTTTAGCCACAGGGTCATGGTCAAGGTCATGCATGTAAGCCGGGCAATGGAGCTAGGAAACCAGGGTCAGCCTCCTGCCCTCTAAGAAACCAAAGCCTCTTAGGCACACCAACAGGAGCCATCCAAGACTGTCACCAGGACTTCACTATGGTTAGGACACTGCCTGGTGTGTGACAAGCACGAGGTGACTAGGAGCTGTGGCTGTTCTTCGAATCATCAGTATTATTGACATTCAATTTGCCCACAGTCTTTGGGAGCTTGTGGAGGGCTTGCTGGACCACTGCCCGTGGCCATGTCTGTGATGCAAAGGGGGCTGAGGGAGAGCAGTTTAGTGTAGGCCCTCTCTGCACAGATGGTGCCCAAGGCACCTGTATGTGGGAAGGGGACCTGGGAGGGCCTGGGAAGCAGAGGAAGAGCGAGAACCCCACACCTGATGGCCCTGGTCAGGAAGCAGGACTGGCTCTGGGAGTGGCAGAGAGCTGGGGTATATCCTGATTGTCACTCTCCCTGGTACCATAGAGAGCCCCAACTTCTCTGACATGGGGGCCACAATGACGATGGGGATGGGGATGAGGCCTGCTCAAGCCCAACACCTGGGGGAACCACAGGACTAAGCATGGCATCAGCAGGGACTTTTGAAAACTGCTGAGTGCTTTCTGCACAAACATAATTCACCAGAAGGGTGGAGTGTGGACTGACTCATGGCTCCCAGAACACTGCAGAATTCCTTGGCATCCAGGTGCCACCTCAGACTTGGGTCAGAATTTCTAGGTGAAGGCTTGGGATTCTACATTTGAACAACTTTTCTTAGGGGACCCTGAAGCAGATGGACAGTGACAGACCACAGGGGGAGACCCCAGGAACAGGAAGCTGACCTCAGAAACCCCACAGACCCTCAAATTTGAGTCCCGTGTCTTCTCTGCAGCCTGTTTCCTATGCTGAAGACAGAATACTGAATGTGCTAAGAATGGAAACAGTTTCCACCCGCAAGGGGCCCAAAGAGCCCACTTGGCCAGGCCTGGGACATGGCTCAAGTGGTAGAGTGCCTGCCTGGAAAGCACAAGGCCCTGAGTTCAAACTCCAGTAATGCCAAAAAATTAATTAAGTAATTAAAAAAAAAAAAAAGCAACTTGGCTGCCAGGGCAAGACACTGGCCAGGGCAGTGGGACACAGAATGTGTGGTACACAGGGTAGGTGTACAGATTCTGTAGAGACAGGCTGGGCGTAGCCATGTGTGACTCAGGCTGTGGTTCTGGTCCCCCTTTCTTGGGGGCCCGAGAATGGAACTGGGGATGGCCCAAGGTTAAGGGGAATGAGGATAGGGTCACAATCAAGGCTGGGGCACAAGGAAGGAACACCTACCTGTACAATAGGGTTGTGCAGGTTCTTCTGAACCGGGCCGGGACTGTCGCCCTGTAGCCAAAGAAGAAGAAAGATGAAATAGCAGAGACACTTGCCACATGTGAGCTCAAGGGAGGGGGGCTTGGCTGTGGGTGTGGGGCCTTCCATGGAAGGAAGCCATCCTCAGGGGCTGCCCTGCCTCTGCAGTGGGGAACCCACTCCCACCTGCTGACACCAACACTCCCAGACGGATGGGGCCTGGGGCTCATCAAGGTGCAACCTGGACCAGGAACCTGAGGTGTTTGCTCACCTGCTCTGGCCTCAACCCCAACTCTCTCTCATCAACAAATCAGCCACTCAAGACCTAAGTTCTTATCCTAGTGGGTCCACTGTGTTCCAGCTTGGGGTTGGTTCTACATGGCAAGTTTCCATAAAGAAACACACTTTTACAAAAAGCATAATAAAAATTAAAGAATTTGTGCATGTACACAGACTGGGGAGACTATACACCCACTAGCTTCCCCCACAACCAACAGAGCAAGTCTCTTATTCGTGGAGGGGCAGTTTTCCGATGTAAGGAGGGGCCCCTGACTGCCCAACATCATGGAGCTAACAACAAGCAGAGCTGGGACTCAAATTCAGGACTGTCTATCCCTCCTGGCCCAGTGCTCCTTCTAGGCGGGGCTCCAATGCAAGGGCTTGCTCAGCTCAAAATGTTGGTTTGCCTCTCTACCCACAGGCCTTGAGCTTCTTCCTTCTTTTCCAGGGAAGTTTGGACCAGCCCTGGGCCGGTAGAACATTTCTAGTGTGTTTCCAGCCCTGCCCCAGATGGGAAGGGAGGAAATCTTTAAATAATCTGTGCAAAAGCCTTCACTATATCCTAGTGTCTGCCCTGCCTCCAGGCGGACAGATCATTTGGATCACAAAAGTCATTACCAGGGAGACTCCTGCTAGTTGTTTTAGGAACAGAGGCCCAGTGCCCAGGAAAGAATAAGGATATGTCACTTGGGTCAATGTCCGTCAACCTTCTCTGACTTCTCTTTGCTGAGTCCCTGCCCATACTCAAATCAGTGGCCAGAGTGTGAGAGGTGGGGTGGTCCCTGGCTCAGGCTCTGCTGTTCTTTCTGTGCCAAGTCAAATGTCTGAGAACAGAGGGTTCCCTGAGGCTACCTCTCAGCTCTTTCTAGTTTACCTATGTGCACACATGTGCAGATGGGGACAAGGGAGCTGGGAGGAGGGGCAGGGAGAATATAACAAATGAAAGTTTCTTCTTTGGTTCCATTTTTAAGGTTTGCAACAGAACCCATTCTGCAGGCAGCTCCGGCAGTTCTACTCTGGGAAGGACCATCTTTGCCAATACCATGTCCTGGAAGCAAAGCCCTGTGCAGGGAGTGTGTGGACATCACTGTGCAGCAGGTGTGTGCCAAAGCCGAGCTGGGCAGAAGACTGGGCCTGTGTCAAGTGCAATTCAAGAGGCCTTCAGAGAGCCCTTCTGTGGGGTGGGCCTATCTGTGGCATTTCTGCTCTGAGCCCCCTCGGGCTGTTAGAAGAAGGTAAAACATGGTCCTGGGGAAGGAGCTCTCACTTGGATGTGTGTGGACACTACAGCGTGTCCAGCCCAAGGCTGGCCTTTCCATCCGCATGGGAAGAGCTGGCCACTGCTGGCTCTGGTCCTTTAGAACCAATTAATGGACCTTGGAGATCTCTGGAGTGGCCTGCCTTCCTCACCTTGGTTCTGTGATCAACGGCACTCTCTCCTGGGGACAAGGCTTCCTTATAGCCTCAGTAAAAGGAGGAATCCCAGCCCATGGCTGCAAGTGGCTTTTCCCACCATCCTGCTGTGGGCTGTGTAAGGCCCCTGGGCTCAGGAGTCCCTCCACCCACCTCACCAGCTCCTTTTAAGTTTAGTCTTAGCTATTTTTATACGCATGTTTCATTCTTATTGTGAATTGAAAAAAAAAGTTTCCATCTTTATCACTCTTATAAAGGAAAGCTATTCATTTTCATAAATTGATTTTCAACCAGGACCTTATTTACTTGTTCGTGAAGAGCTGCAATAGCTTTTCAAGTCATTCTCGTGTTTTCCTGTCATCGGCAAGGAATGCTTTGACTTTGTTTTCCAATGTGTTCACCGCGTTTTTTTTTTTTTTTAATCTCTTCTGTTGGTTAATAAAGCCATATTAACTGGGTTTTTGAAAAAGCCCTCCTGTGCATCTGATGACCTAACCCTATGGTGTCTCTGTCTTTAGGACATGGTAGGGGACCTCCTTGGGTTATCAACTATGTGACAGACAAAAATTCAAGGTGCTCCCTACACCCTGACCCATGGTTTCATGTTAGAGCCTGCCGTGTTTCCCCTGGTGGGAAAAGTGGCCCTGGTGTTTGACCCACCTTTGTTTATTCCCTCACGGCACGGAAGCCCGCCGTGGTTGGAACTTAGTTTGAGCGCGTCCCTCAAGGATTCAGGTGTGGGAGGTTTGGCTCCCCACCATGGTGAAGTGAGAGGTGGTGAGACCTTTAAGGGGGGGGGGGGCCCAGCAGGAGTCTTTGAGGCCCTGCCCTCGGAAGGAATTAAAGCTGTTCTCATGGGACCTTGCTTAGCTCTCTCTCAGGAGTTACTATAAAAGAGTGAGGCTGGCCCCTCCCTGCTTTTTGGCTTTCTGCCTCTCCCCCTCGGATGCATTTCTGCCCTGGTCATCAGCTAGCGTGTGATGCAGTTAGAAGAGGCCCCGCCAGAGCCAGAACCAGTCCCAAGCTGTTTAGACTTTGAGCTTCCAAATTTGTGAGCTAATAAATAAACCTGTTTTCTCTATAAGCTACCCAGCTTCTGACATTTTGTTATAGTAATGGAAAGTGGATTAAGGCAGAGCCCATCTGCCTGCCCCCTAGTCATCAGGAGTTAGGTGGCTGGGGACTTGTGTCTCTTGGCAGCTGGTGTCCTGTATATAATCAGAAAGTATTTGATTAACAAATTTAGAGCAAATTCACAGGATGCCTCCCCAGAGGCAGCACATGTCACAACTCATGGAAACTCAAAACAAAACAAAGCAAGTGGGCTCCATTTCTAGCTGGAGGGTAAGAACTGGCACTAAAGGGAACAGGTGGGCCTGGTCGGGCCCTGAGCTCTGGAGGTGACCTCTGGGACAAGAAGCCCCCAGCCCCAGGCAGGGCCCACCCAGCTGGGGCCCAGTGGGGCAGAATTCCAGGCTGCACAGACCCTGCGGCCGACCCAGGCCTGCTTTCCTCTGGATTTTCCGTGCCCTCCCGGACACCAGGAGCAAGCGGGCCTCATTTCTTTCTCTCCCCACTTCCACTGCTTCTTGCAAAAGGAAAGAACAGACCAGGACAAGCCTTCGCCAGGGTGCTCCCTGGGTGGACAAGAGCAAACAGTGGGCGTATCTCCCCCCTGTCCCCTGCCCCCACAGTGTCTGGGCAGGGCCCAGGTGCCCAGGCCCCACTGCTGCTGGCCTTACGTTGCAGAGGGAGTGCGTCCGGTGCCGTGGCGAGTTGATATCACTTGGTGTGGATGACCGGTCGCCTTCAGCAGCAGACGCGTCGGAGATGACGGAAGGCTGCCGGGAGTGGCAGGGGCTCACCCTGACAGCTGGAAAGCAGGGATGGCTGGTGAGTGAGGGACTGAGACTACTGCCTGCCAGGCCTTGCAGGTGAGCCCACCCAAAATGCCCATTACACAGACAGGAACACTGAGGCTGAGGGAAAGTGAGAGACTTGCCTGGCTCCTCCTCTCTATGTCACAGCCCTGCTAGCTATATGCAGCAGCTGTTGGGAAGTCCCTCCCCTGTCCTCTGGATCCAGGGCAGCCCCCTCTTCACCTGGAGGCTGACAGGGCCTGGGAAGTTTTACCTGGTGCAACCCTAATCACCGCTCAAACACCAAATTCCCAAACAAAAAACCTCGAGGTCACTGCCAGCTCCTCTTTCCCTATACTCCATCCAACTGTCAGCAGTGACTTAAAACAGCCCCAGTCTGTCCCCCTCTCTCCCACCCCACAGCCTCACAAACCGCTGGCCTGGAAGGCCATAGCAGCTTCCCAGCCTCCTCTCCTCACACTGCAGTGGGAGCCTCATGCATCTCACCACTCTGCAGGTGAAATACCTCCTGCCCCAGACCTGACGTGCAGCACCCCTGCCTGGCCCAGCAGCCCAGGCTCAGCAGCTCACCCCCTGCTTGTCTCTGGTCACACTGGCCTTCCAAGCGGGTCTGAGACACCACCTTCCTCCTGGGCCTGGGGTTTGCTGTTCTTGCACAGTGACAGTGACAATGACAGCTCCACGAGGACACACACCCTGGGGTCTTCTCCATGTGCACTCCCATTGCCCTCAGTGCCTGGCATGCACCAGATGCTCAATGGGTCGTGTTGGACCTGGAAGCTCTTCCCCCAGGGTCCTTGCCTGTCTGCAGGTGCCAGCACTGCACAGAGAGGATGTTTTCTGCTACTTGAGAGTCTACTATGTGCAGGCATTCCCTAAAGTACAGCCCTTGCTGCCAATGACCGTGTGGTCTCATGGGAAGACAGGCACCGAAAGCACATGGTTAACATACAGGCTGTGTGGCCGTGGGCCTGTGCCTCACCCTCTCTGAACCTCTACGCTGCAGAGTAGCTGTGTGTGTGTATTACTACAGTGCTGGGCATTGCGTGGCTGGAAGGAGCCAGGTGACAAATATACCTATAGTATAACACGCGGGCATAAGGGCTGTTCTAATGCAGGTGAATACCTCGTTTACAGAAGCATACAGGACCCAGGGGACAGAGCTGGGGAGAGAGCTGGAAGGCTTCCCAGAGGAGGAGGAAGCAGCTGATAAAAAGCACAGAGATGGCAGTAAGTGAGGCAGGGCCAGTGGAGGAGGCTGGACTTGGTAGGTGGATTTGTCAGCTGGGCCAGTCCCATCCACTGAGGAGAGGCCCTGTGGCCTCTGGTGCGGTGACCAGGAATAATGACCATCCTAAAACTGCCCCAAGCCCCACTTGCTTTCCATGGCACCTTGCCTTCCTGCTGCGCTGGGGACCAGGAGCCAAGCAAGCTGGCTGCACATGGGGGCTGCGGGACTGAACAGGGGCAGCCCTCTTTGGGGCGTCACATGCCTGCCCCGTGAGGCACTGGGACCTGCAGGTTTCTTATCTGCCCTGCCGGCTCTGAGCCTGGGCTGCAAAGGCTGGAACAGAACAACCCTGCTGCCCCGGAATTTCACCTCTTCTTGGGTCAGAGAGGAAACGGAGGACTGGAAGACCGCTGTCTCTGTTCGGTGGAGGGAGCACCCTGGGTTTGTTTGTTGCCAGGGTTCTAAAAGCCCCATGTGTCACCTATCAATGACAATACCACACATGGCACTGATGGCAGTGACTAATATTTACCAGGCCCCATTCCAGAAATTTCGCCACTTAATCTTCACAACAACCCCACTAGGGAGGAGAGGGCACGCCTCAGCAGATGGGGATGATACGCGCTGTGGATCGGGACCCAACATTCCTTTTCTACGTACAGAGACCAAGGAACTGGGCAAGGTCACAGGGCCAAAATGTGAACCTTTGCCCTAGGGACTCCCCTGTACCCTCAGAAGGCGATGTGGGCCCTGCTGGCCTTTCCTGACTGGCCACCAGCCCTTGGGGACTGGCTGGGGCTGTGACCACCAACTTTCCTGCCTGCAGATAGGGGAGTGGAAGGACCAGAGGGTAAGGGCCCCAGAATGCAGCTGGGTGGCTCACAGGTGTGCAACAGGATACCAAAGAGTCTAGAGCAGGTACCACAGCAGTGGGCACAGATACTGCCCAGAGGCCAGGCCCCTGTTCTCCAGTGGACACCTGTGACATTCACTCCTGACCTTCCTCTACCCAGTGATCAGGTGGAGCTGTCAATCGAGGGGCTGTGCTGCCTCCGCTGCCAGCTGCCAGAGGATGCCATGTGACCCAGTCTGGTCAATCAGGCCAGGCTGTGTACCTGCTTCTCTCTGGACATGGTGATTGGTGACCCAAGCTGGCCAATCAGACTCTTTCTTTGGAAACAGGGAGAAGAGATAGTTGCTTTTTCTAAAGACTTTTGAGCTGTAAGGGCTTCACAAGTTGAATTGCTGGGTCTGTTTTGTGCTTTGTAGGAAAAAGCAGCCTAAACATGAGGCCAAATGGGGGTGGGCAGAGCTGAGAGACCCAGCTATTGCTTGAGCCTTGGGATCCAGCTATGCCTGAAGTCCATGTCTTAGCCTTTTCAGTTACAAGGGCCCACAGTCTTTGCCCCACACTGCCCTAGGCTGCAGTAGCGTGGCCATAGCTCATCCTGCTGGGTCTGGTGGCCTCCTAAGCAGGCCTGGAAGCTGTGGCTGGGCCAGACTCACCTTGCCGGTCTGCAGGATGGGGAGGGTGTGAGTGGTAGAGGGTCTGCTGGCTCTGCCGGATGGCGGCGGTCAGTGGGAGGTCCGCCTGCACCACCCACTCCTGGTTGCCGTTGAGCACCGTCTCGCCTGGCATGGCGAGTGAATGACGTTTGGGGACATCCTTGGTCAGTGTGGCTAAGGACTGCTTGGCCTGGAGAGAGGTGGGAAACAGGAGGAAGCTGACGTCACCGAGGGGACCTTTGGTCAGCTGCTTAGCATGGTAAGGAAGGCAAGAATCTCACCTGTACCAAATGTCACCAGTCTGTGTCACATGTCATCAGTATCAGCCACCTGAGCTCCAGGCCTTCACTGGAGCTCACCCGCCTCAACCCTCAGTTCCTGCCAAGAGCCAAGTAATAGGGAGAAAGGGGGTCCAAGGACAAACTCATCACACTGTTTTGGGTTTTCTAGGGATTCTAATGGGACTGTAAGAAAACGGTGTTTGAAGCTGGGCACGGTAGTACACATCTGTAATTCCAGCTACTCAGGAGGCAGAGGTAGGAGGATCAAGAGCTTGAGGTCAGCCTGGGCAAAGTGAGTGCAAGACCCTATTTCAAATACAAAATAAAGGCTGGGCATTGGTGACTCACGCCTGTAATCCTAGTTACTTGAGAGGCTGAGATCAGGAGGATTGAGGTTCGAGGTCAGCCCAGGCAATTGGTCATGAGGCCCCATCTCCAAAACAAAATGGACTGGAGGTGTGGCTCCACCCTCTGCTTTGCAAGTGGGAAGCCCTGAGTTCAAAACCTTAGTCCCATTCCATCAAAAAATAAAGTAAAATAAAAACAAGCCCAAACGGGCTGGGGGCAGGGCTCATGTGGGAGAGTACTTGCCCAGCACACACGAGGCTCTGGGCTTGTCTCCATGCCACAAAGTTCAAACCCCAGGACCATGACTTTAACTTTTCCCCATGTCAACCTGCTATCGGTCCATCGAGATGTTCCATCACCTCAGTGCTCAACCCTCAGGACAGTCCTTCCTTGAATGCAGGCAGGGGACAGGGCAGGTCCTTAATACGGCTCTCCCACTCCCACAAAGAGTGCTCCAGGAAGCCTGGCGCGAGTGCGGGGCTGAGCCGGGGCTGCAGCCTTGGTGCTCTTAGCTGTGTGTCATCTCCCCCAGCACACGTGGGGTTTTATTAGAAATGATCTTAGATTCTTTTAGGGAGAAAAAGGAATGCACTGGAAATGTGTTAGTGTACATTCCTCCAATCAAAGCCAATTTCTACTTCCCAGGGCAGAGGGGAATATGAGAGGGGTGGAGGGAAGCCAGAGAGAGGTTTACCGTGCAGTCCTCAGTTCCCCTTGTGAGTATTCCCAGCCACACACAGGGAAAGCAGAATGACAGCCAAGTTGGCCCCAGAAACAGGCAGCCTTTCCTGTGGCCGCACAGGAAGACAGGTAGGAGAGGCCTGGGTGGGATGGGGTGCTTTCATGTCCCCTCAGTGTGGCTTTCTCCAACCAGGTGGGCCGCAACTCTGCCTGGGTCTGAGAGTGGTGCCTTCTATCTGGGCAGGCAGCTGGACATCACTACCTGACAACTGGGATGTCCCCTGTGGTTGGGCCTTGGAACCTGTGAGCTCTGGAGTCCTCTCACTCTGCTCACTCAGGATTTGAGACTTCAAATCAGAGCTGTCAGGGGCAGGAAAGCCATAGGTGGGGCACGGAGTCAGGTTCAGAGCGTGACATCCTACAACTTCCATGCCTTTGTCTGACAAATCCCTTCCACTAAATGCAACTCAATGCTGGGAGCTCCCCTTTGCTCTGGCCTCCCTCACCCCTTTCTCCTCTCTGAGCCTCCACCCTCCCCTGAGCACCTGAGCTAGTGTCCAGCTCCTGCAAGCTGCTAAGTTGGTACAAACACACCTGTGTGACAAAAGCCCAGAGAGAACCCGTTCAAACTCCACCTCTATGACTTAACTTGCTCTGTGACCTTGAGCAAGTTACTCCATCCCTCTGAGCCTCAGGGTCCTCACTGGCAAGATGGGGAGGCCAAGATGGGTTCTGTCCATGTAAGTGGTGCCTCCTGGAGTTGTGTGGCCAAGTGGCCCATGGCCTAACACGGTGCTCTGGAGCCTGGACTCAGAAATCAGACTGCCCGGCTTTGATCCCAGCCCTGCATTTCCTAGCCATGGGATCTGAAGAGAAGTCCTCAGCTACCTGTGCCCATGTCCCCATCTGTCTAATGGGGACAACAGGCACCCAGTTACAATGGAGAGCCCTTCACCCATAGTAAGAAAACTCACAAGTGCTACTGACTGTTACCAAAACGTTTCTACTTCACAGCGAGGGGCCACATAAGAACAGCTCACGTGAAGGAAGATAGTCTGGTCCACTGTCATGGTCAATGTGGAACAGCACGGTGTTGAAGTCAGGATTTTTTAGGACTGGGCAAAAAGACCCGTGAGGCAGGAGAGAAGAGGACTGACGAGCCCATCCTCAGCCACCCTAATGACCCAAGGGTCTGCTGCCAGAGGCCACAGTACCTCCTCTCCCGTGCAGAGTGTGCTGGCTCTGCACCCCTAAACCTAGTCCTTCCTCAGTTATTGGAGGGGTCTGTGCTTGGCTTGGGAGATCTTGGGAGGGAAACTGGTGGCAACACCAGGTTTTGCCTTTCTTTTGGCTCCAGTGCATGGATAGGACGCTGCCCAGAGGGACATCAGGTGGCTGACACTGGTCCTCCTGTGCAGAGTAACAAATGCGGGAGTCAGCCAAGCTCTCCTCGCTGGGGCAGGTGGCGTTGGCTTCAGCCCAGAGCGGTGCCTGGTTTCTACCTCCTCACAGCAGCCACAGGTCCTGCCTTCCTCCCAATACACCCCTGTGCTAGCCTGAACTGTGTCACTTGCAACCCTGGGACCTAAGACCCTAGAGAAGGCCTTGTGGTGTTAGCATGGAAGCAAGGCAGAGAGGGGACCTGGGCCTGCATGGCCTGAAGCAGGTAGTCCTGGCGGGAACTTCTGCAGGTAGCAGGTGACGGAGAGGATCTGCAGTCGGGGACACTCCTAAAGGACAGAGCATCACAGCTCTAAGCAAAGCCACTTTCCACTGCCTTGAGCTGTTGCCTGTGTCAACATTGCAACAGACCCCAACGTCTCTGCTAGCAGAAAGGGTTGCATGCCTGCCAGGAGGAGGAGGCAGGAGTCTCAGAGCTGCTGAAGGCCTGACGCAGGCCGAGGGCTGGAGTGGTGGGAGTGGGAGCTGGGGTGGGCTGGCCCCCAATCCACGGAGGCTCAGGGAGACCCCCTACCATGGACACTGAGGCTGGTGCTCCGAGGCAGGGCGTACCATCCATCAGCCCTGTGGGGACAGGGCCTCCCCTGACTTCTCCCTGGTCTGAGACATGACGAGCTTCCTGCTGGGCTGCAGGTGGCTACAGTGGCACTGACCCACAGGCTGGAAGCCTGATGAAAGGGGACCCCAGGACTGCAGCTTCTTCCTGCCTTGATCGCCCTCACCACTAGGGGTCAGCACTGCACAGAGAGACCCAAGAGAGGCAGCGCGTCCCTGCCCTGGGTAGCAAGTGACCTTAGGAAGCCAGCATGGCATTTACCACGGACAGACACTGTACTAGGTGTTCCCCTCACTGTTTCACTGGCATCTTCACAAAGTTCCTAGGGGTACATGCAAGTGCCCCGACTTAGAGTTGAGGCCCAAGAGTAGAGTCTTGCCTGAGGTCACACAGCTAGGAAGTGATGGGGGCTGGATTAGAACTGGGAACCTACAGCTGTAACCACAAGTTAGCCAGCATTGGTGCCCTACAGGACGATGTGGCCTACCTGAAGAGTCAGGCAGGCCGGGTGTGGTGGAGCCCCCGTGTGTCCTCTACCCAGTCACTGTCAGACAGCCCTGGTGACTTTAAAAGGCTTTTCTAGCCACATACTCTCTGGCTGTACTTAGCCACTTTGTGGGGAAGGCAGGGTGGGACGAAGACCACCCCGGCCCCAGTAACAAAAAGGACACTGAAGCCCAGAGAAGTTCAGCGAGTGTCTCAGGCCACACAGGGGCAGGCAGCACCGAACTCCAGGTCTCTAGGCCTCCTCTCCTGCCAGGTCCCTGGGCACTTGCTCCTTCCAATGTATGTGCCACCCACAAAGTATCTGGGGGGTATTTTGATGGTTTGTTTTGGATGAGGAAAAAAAGGTAACATTTCTTTTGATGACCCAGGAAAGACTGTTCCTGCAGATACTCTGCAAACAGACTATCTGTCTATCTATCATCTGTCATTTATCTAATCCCATCATGGAGATAACTCATGTTAATATGCTGACATATTTCCTACCAAGTATTTTTCTAAACAAATATGCGTATAGTCACCCAAAACGATTTTATTTATTTCTTTTCTTGAGCAATGTCCCGGGGACTGTGGTAGAGTGACAGTCTCCTGATGTTCCCATGCTTTCAGGCAGGAGACTATCCCAGGCTGCCTGCTGTCCTGCCCTTAGGCTCACACCTGCCCCACCCCCCGCATCCGTCCCCTCCATCTGCCCCTCACCTTCACATCTGCCCTGCTCCCACCTGCCCCTCCAGGCCCTGGCCCTGGCAACGGTGCTCTCACCATGGCCAGCTCAGCCTCCAGCTCCTTCATGCGGTTGTCTTTGAGGTCCAGCTGGGACCGCAGTGCCGCTGCATGGTCTGTGGCGTCCTTGGCCTGGCGTCGCAGCTCCCACTTCTCCCGCTCCAGCAGGTCCTTCTCCTTGGCCAGGACTTTGACTGCGTCCTCGCTCTCCTGAGAGAGAGAGAAAGAGAGAGAGCTGTGGGATCACTCCAGGGCAGAAGGCTCCTCCTGGTCCAGGGACCACTGAGGCCTGGACCCCTGGTAGGAGGGAGAAGCAAGGAGGCCCTGGCCTATAGCCAGGCTTTGTGTGGGAAAGCACTGGGTTCAAATCCTGTCTGTGCCACCAACTAGCTGTGAGATGGGGACAGAGATGGGCTGCTCAGTGAATATTTTTTCAATGGGTGAGAAGTCATTGCACCTGTCACACCTGTGTTTCTCCATATATAAAACAGGCGTCAATATTACTTTTTTTCAAAGACTTGTAAAGACTGACTTTGTGTGAGGAAACATGGAGTCTGACAAAATTGGGGTGCAAGAGTTGTGTGTGCTAGAGGAAAACAGGGACAGCAGCGACTGTTTGGCCTACCCAGGGTCCTGCCTACCCGGCAAGGTCACCACAGAGGAGGGACACACCAACTAGCTGTGGTGCCCTGAAGGTAGCAGTTCGGGCCATCAGCACCTTCTCCAGCTGTGATGGCCATGGGAGGGTCCAGGTGGCCCCTGGGCAAGGCCAGCAGTTAGGGGCAGTAGCTGAACCTTACTTCTGTGTGCTAGACAGTTTTGGAACAGTGGGTGGCCTTCTTGGGAGGGTGCTCCTTGTGGGGAGTCTGGCTCACCCACACAGCCACTAAGTCCAAAGTAGATCCAAGGTCTCCGTGTGGCAGGAGGCACCAATGTGCCTGGTTTTGACAACCTTCCCTCCCTCCTTCTCTCCTTCCCTTCTGTTTTAGATAGGACTTTGTGCACTTATTATGTGGCATAGGTTGGCCTCAAACTTGTGATCCTCCTACTTCAGCCTTCCAGATACTGGGATTACAGAAGTAAAACCCCACACCCAGCTAGCCTGTCTTTCTTATTCAGCCCTGATACTGTCCCCCTTCCCCCCCGCCCCAGGAGTCAGCGGGCATCCGAGGGGCTGCTTAAGAAATGTTCCTTTATTAGGAGGCAGACCCACTGGGATCACTTTTGTCTCTGTCTCTTTGCTGGCTCCAGTGGTCACCAGCAGATGAGGGCTTCTAGGGTGGGTGGGAAGGGTCTGTATGTGCTTTGGGGACCAGGGTTCCCACCTCCCATGATAACCTCCCTTGGCCACTGGCAGGCAAGCTAAGGGTTTCGATGCCGTACTGGTTTTCAGCCTCATACCCACCTAAGAGGGAGGGACTGTGATTCTTCTCATTTCACAGGGGAGCAAACTGAGGCCTGAGAGGAGAACTAATGTCCTCAACCCTGCTGTGCATCACAGAAGCAGAAAAAGAACGGAAAGGAGGCCCTCCTGGAATTGATGAGGGAAGGGCTTGCCCAGGCCATGAAGGCCTTGGGTGACAGCCAGGGGCTGCGTGCTCCTGGGCAGCCAGCACAGGGACAGGGAGAAGGGGGCTGCAGAGGACACAGGTGACAGGGAGGCAATGGCAGCAGATGTATGGCCTTAGCACCAGGACTGCCCCATGTCCAGCTCCAGCCTGGCCTGCTGTGAGGATGTCCACAACTGCGTGTGTGGAGAGTCCCCAAGTTCCCCTCCCAGCAGCACCCATGGAATAGGGCGTGTGCACTTGGCACAGGTCATGGGCTGTTGCAACTCTGGGAATTTTCTGGGCAAATCAACAGCAGACTCCTTGGTAGCCTGATTTCCAGGGTGTCCTCACCTCCCTAGGAGCTTGGGGACAGTGTGGTCCTGCCACCCCAACAGCTCAGGCCTGCTGGGGTCCAGGGAGGAGCTGGGCTGGCCATGGCATGCTAAGTGAGGGACCCAGTGTTCTAATTAGCCTGGCCACAGGGACAGCCCCCTGCACACGCAAAATGAAAACCATTTTTTGGTGACTGGATGCAAAATCTTGAGAGAAGCCAAATAAAACCAGGACTGTGGTTCTCCAAAGCAGCTCTAAATACATGGCCTGGACCGGGGATGTGGCTCAGTGGAGAAGTGCTTGCCTAGCACATGGAAGATCCTGGGTTCTGTTCCTACTGCAGCCCTGTGTGGACATGGCATCGCAGCCTGTGGTGAGGCACACGTGTCGTGCACTCGGCTAGTGGTTTCTACCTATTATTCTCTCCCTCACCAGGGAGGAGAAACTTTCCTTCTCTCTGAAAGGCTGGTGGAGTGGCAGAGTGTCTGCCTAGCAAGCAGGAGGCCCCGAGTTCAAAATCTAGAACCACCACCACCAAAAAAAAAAAAGATAAATAAAACTCTCCCTGCAGACAGTGGGCACAAGGGCTTTCTTGGCTGGGTGGGGCCTGGCTCTTTTTTCTTTAAGCTTTGATATTCTCTTCACTAGACAGGTATTTGCTGACTCAAATCCCTCAGTTAGCTGATCCACAAACTCCTACTCATCCCACAGAGCCCAATTCACAGGTGACTTCCTGACTCCCTCTCTAGGGAAGAACTTCCTGCTGTCTTAGGATGCTCTTGGCTCTGTCCTCACACAGCTCGCGTTTCCCGAGTGCCCATTATGCATTGGGCACCATGCTGAGCGCGGGGCATTCAACACCTGGGTCCTCACGGCTGCTCTGCATCACCATCGTCCTTTGCTGATGGGGAAACTGAGGCTCTGAGAGGGTGAGTGGGAGACCCAAGGGCATGCACATGGGAGTGGGGACCTGAAGCAGGAGATTCCTGCGTCCACACTGTCCACCTGGGGCTGTGCACACATCGGACCCTTCGCCGTCTATGAGGGATGTGGGGGGAAGAGGGCTGGGCACCCACCTTGCGGTGCTGCTCGTAGTTGCGGATGAAGTCCCGAAGCTGCTCCTCGCGGCTCTCCAGCGTGGCGTACAGCTGCTGCATCTGGCTCACCAGGTCCGTCTTTTCGCCCTTCAGGCGCTTCCGGTCGGCTTTCATGGCTGCGGACAGAAGAGCAGGTTAGCCCCGAGAGCCCGGCTGGTAGGAAAACAGGGTCCAGAGGATGAAGTCTCTCCCAGGTCCCCGTGATACTTTGTGGATTTCCCAGGACTCAAACCCAGGCTTGCCTATGTCTACAGTCCCTTGTCACTTCTTGGATTTAGCCATCCATGCAGGGAGCGAGTCCTTGTGTGAATGTTTCTCCCAGCCCTGACTGGTTGGGTCCCCAATGTTAGGGGCTGCTGCCTGCTGAGCTCTTGACCTCCCTTCCCTGGCCTTGGAAGCTGAAGGGGCCTCAAATCTCTGTTGAAATGAACCTACCCTGAGCTCACACAGTGACTTGACTCAGCTCAACAGCCCTTCACCAGCCCCATTTCCTCCCCAGGGAGAAGAGTTTGATGAAAAAAGATGCAAGATATGACACCACAAGTATAGGCAACAACAACAACAAAAAAAAAACCAAACGAACAGATAAGTCAGAAGCCAGGCGTGGTGGTACACTCCTGTAATCCCAGCATTAGGGAGACTAAGGCAGGAGGATCATGAATTCGAAGCCAGCCTGGGTTACATAGCAAGACCCTGTCCCAAACCAAACCAAACAAAAACGCTGGATTTCATCAAAATTAAAAACCAGTGCTTCTAAGAATTCCATGAAAAGAATGAAACCCACAGAGCAGAGGAGATATTTGCAAATCTTGTATCCGATGAGGGACTTATGCTAGAATGTATTAATAACTCTTACAACTCAGTAAGAAAAAGACAACCCATTTTAAAAATGGTTGAAGAACCTAAATAGATATTCCCCAAGAAATGGCCAATAAGAAGGAAAAAGTTGCCAGGCACCGATGGCTCATGCCTGTAATCCTAGCTACTCAGGAGGCAGAGATCAGGAGGATCACGGTTTGAAGCCAGTCCGCCAAATAGCTCTGTGAGACCCTATCTTGAAAAACCCATCACAAAAAAAGGGCTGGTGGAGTGGCTCAAGGTGTAGGCCCTGAGTTCAAACACCAGTACCCTCCCTCCAAAGAGAGAGAAAGAGAGAGAGAGAGAGAGAAAGGTGCATGACATCACCAGTCATAAAGAAAATATAAATCAGCCAGGAGAACACTTCGCCCTCCCTTGCTACAACAACTAAGATCAAAAGGACAATGACAACAAGCATTGGCAAGGAAATGGTTAAGCAGTGCTGTGTGTGTGTGTGTGTGTGTGTGTGTGTGTGTGTGTGTGTTTGTGTAAAAACGGTGCAAAACCGCCTAGCAGTTCCTCGAATGATCAAATATAAATAAAGCTACTATTCGACCCAGCAACTCTCCCCCAGGCACATGCCCCACGGAAATGAAAACATACTTCCACACAGAAATGTGAACGCCGGTGCTGCCAGCTACATTACTCCTGAGAACCAAAAGGATGGAAGCCCGAAGGCCCAGCCATGGACTTATCAGAACACATGAAAGGAAAACATGCTCTGTAGAGCCAGTCACTAAACGCCATGTGTCACGTGAGTCCACTGACCCGAAGGCTCGCAAGAGGGAAAGCTATACAGACAGAAAGAGGACGGGCAGATGCCCTGGGCTGGGACTGGATGGAGGGATGGGGATCTGCAGGGCTGGGGACCTCTTTGGAGGCAATGAGAATGTTCTCCCATTGGTCGCTCGGATGGATTACAACCCTGCAGATATTCCGAAAATCACAGACTGGCACGCTTTAGATGGGTCAACTGTGTGGAATGTGAATTACATCTCAAACAAAACAAACCGAAACAGTGTCATGTGCTCTGAGGAGCCACTTGCAAGGACGTGCGACTTCTGCTCCCCTAGGCGCTCCCTCTCCACAGTGTCTGGCTGAATGGAGCAGCTGCAGGGTGGGCTCGAACTATGGGGTGGCCTCTCCTGCCTTCTCCCAGAGCCCCCGGAACTCATCCGTCCCTTGAGAGAACACTGAGGAGGGGTTCTGAGGCTAACTGTGGAGGTGGCAAGGGTGGGGGCAAAGCAAGTCCTGGGCTCTGCAAGTTTTCAGTCCAAGATGGCCCAGAGTAGTTGAGTCATTTGCTTTTGGTCATACAGCCATGTCTGACCCCAATGCCCACACACTTGACTGTATGTTGTGCTGCCCCCACAGAGAAGCCCCCAGATCAGAGCAGTCCCAGTGCCATTGCCAGCAGGACACAGTGATATGGGACAGGCAAGGGACTGTGACTCCCATCTTGCTCCTCGACATCCAATCCTACAGACGCAGCATGTATGTGAAGGAGTCGGGGACCTGGGCCAGCCAGATCCCTGAGCTCTTGGCCCAGCACCCAAAATAAGATGATGTCTTTTTGGATCTGCAGAGACCCTTTCATCCTCCTTCCCTTTTCCCCCCTCTCCCTGGGAAGAACAGATGGAAGGCAGGTCAGCTGGGGCCGGGTCACCACGTGCAGAAAGCCACAGGGAGACCCACGCCACGGGGACAACAGGTCTCGGGCGGCCCTTTGAATTCCAGCTTTGAGCCTCCCAGTTCCCTGCTGCCTCTGTCCTCTTCACGGCCAGCCTGGCTGAGCAGTGGCATAGGTCACAAGGTAGGAATTCCAGGCCTGCTGGGCTGGAACCTTGAAGGGTGGAGACACAGAACCAGCAGGGGGCACCCTGCAGGCTCAGGGAGGGGTGTGGTGAGGAGCACAGCTGAGCTAATTCTGTGCCCCACTGCCAACATGGTATGGCCAGTTACTGAGAACCTCACTTCAAGATGCCCAACATCCAGGGACATAACTGGGTCACAGAGCACAGTCGGCCTGGCACCATAGGTATCTCTGCCTACTGCTAGCACAGCATTCTGGCAGGCGGGGTCTTTATCCCACGGGACAGAGGGAAACCAAGGCCAACAGTCAGTCAGTGGCAGAACTGGACTGGCGCCTGACACGCTGTCTGGCTGGGTTCAAGAGCAGCCGCAGGAAGCTCATGGAGCTGGGGAAAGGGTGCTAGGGGCCTCAACTGTCCCTTCTGTCCAGAGGACAGCAGCATCCACACAGCAGGGTGCAGGGACTCCTCAGAGGTTCACTTTTATCCTTTGCTTGGAAATTAAGGCCCTGGGGTTCTGACTTGCCCCTGTCACCAGCCCCGACTGGAGGACTCTGCTCCTGGCAGCTCTCTGGGAAGGGGTCTTCCTCTCCAACATCACATTCCTGGGCCTTTCCTGGCTTTTGCCAAATGGCCTTTGAGGGGGGTGATGGTGAGGTCAGGCTCCATGGACCTCTGTGCTGCTCCACCCTTCACCACCTGTGCACATGTCTGTGTGTGCACAGTCTGGGTGTGTGCAGAGTGTGGACCACCTCGGTGGTGGGCAGGGGCTGTACCTCCCCCATCTGATGGCTCCCTGAGAGCAAGGCTGGGCTTGCACTTTTGAGGGGTTGTTTCTTCCGAGGAGGCTGATCGTGGAGGTGGTGGAAGTGTGTGCAAACAGCTAGAGCTCCCTGTGAACTACGTAGTAAATTCCTACTGTGTGCCACACTCATGTGTGCAGCTGGGACAACAGGGATGAGCCAGGCATGACTCCTGCCTCATGGGTGGCTGACGATCGGACACAGGAGACAAATCCATCCGTTGCCCTCCTCACCAAGAAAATCCTGGTTTTGTCTGGGGGGTGGGTCCTGCCCAACACTCAATTCCCCAGACCCCTGTATTTACAGAGGACATGTGTCACAATTCTGGTCACTGTGACATACATAGAAGTCTACTGGGAGATCCCGTTTTCTTTCTGAGCCTTCTTGTGAACAGAAGGATGGAAGACGTGTTGAGAACGCAGAGTGAAAAGAAATACTGAAGGGAGCTTGATTGCTGATGGCGTCCATGGGGCCAGGATGCTCTGAACAGAACACCAAACCCCAACGTTTGTGGGGCTTCCTGCCAGTGCAGCCCAATGCACTCCTAACTCTGGCCCAGCAAGACAGGCTGGCAAGGGGTGGTGCAGTCACTCGGAAGGCTCCACCTCCTGGTTCTGTCCCATGAACACTCCTGGCGGATCCTGGCTCTGCCTGGCTCTGGGCTGGACCCTGCCAGTCTGAGGACCTGAAAAACGTGAAAGTTGAAATCTTTGGGAATGAATGTCAAGTGAAGGGCAAACAAAAATGATGGTGAGGAGTCACTGCAACATCGTGTATACAGAGGCCGCTGTCCATCTGCCCACATCTTTGCTGAAGCATGCATAGCAAGAGCGTGGTGCCCCAGGTCATCTGCTCTCGGACACAGCCTGTCCATCTGTGTTCCATGAGCCCCAGTGGAGGACATTCATAGTGGAGAGGCCCTGGAGCCCCGTGGGGCCCTGTGCTGGCTGCAGGCAGGAAAGTGGGCATCAAGGCCACGCCACCAGACAGGAGCTCCCCAGAGAAGCTGGGATTGTAACGCTTAAGAAACGAGCAGCTTCCTGCCATCAGCCTCAGGTATAACTTCAGTCTACACACAGGGCTATGAGAACGGCCCAGAGGGCTCCTTATCATAGTGATGCTTTTCCCTCTGTACTCACATCCCCCAAGCCTCCTCACCTGAGGTGAGCAGCCAGCCTTCAAGATGTGACAGTTTCTTTGGCTTGGGGATGATGGGCCTCACCTCACAAAGCAGCCATAACCCCCCAGCGCTTTTCTACTTCCCAGCCACTTGACTTTGCACAGGCGGGTCCCATGCCAGCAGTCAGGCCAACTGGAACCACTGCTGTAGTGACAGGCGATGTCATGCTTGGTGGCTTTGCAGGACCATGGAATGAGGCTGTGGGATGCTGGGTGGGAGGGAGGTGTGTGCAGAGGTCTTGATTCTTCCATCTCAGAGGGGGTCAGGTGCATGCATGAGACAAAGGTAATGGGCCCAGCTGTGGCCACACAGTGATGGCACTTCTCTGGGGATGTCACTATTCCCCAGTGTCCTCCTTTCCTGCCTTATGATATTCAGTCTGAGCCAGATGTAGGAAGCGACAGCAGTGTCAGCTCCACGTTTAACCTCTGCAGGTGCAATGCCTGGCAGGTTGGACCGAGAGA